CCGTAATGATGAGGAAAGGCCGAGGTCAAGCTGGGAAGTCAGTCTGTGGGTGAAGGTCCAGGTTACTGGGGTCCATGGCCAGGCACCCAGCAGCAAAACCTCCACTGTGATTCTTCAACCCACTCCCTCAAGAAGGGATGGCCGGCCCTGGCTGGGGTGTACGGCAGCCTCCGCCCCACAGGTATTCTCTGAGTTAGCCCCAAACGCCCACAGCAGTTGGGGCATGGAGGGGCGGGAATGGAGTAATGCTCTCACATGCCTTATAAATTATTGCAGTAAAATCTGCAGTGACACTGATTTTTCTCTCTACTGTGGTCTCACAGGCTAGAAGCAGCTGGGTTGGCGGGAACTCCTGCAGGGCTCCAGCCCAAGCTGCTGCTCGGCTCAGCCCACCTACACCAGGTTGCTCAGGGCTTTTGCTTTGCTACAGCAGGGGACGTACCTGGAAGAGTCTGTTGCACTCCATTATCATGTGGGCCAAGCCCTGCGTGGCTGCCAGGTTCTCACTGAGCTCCCTCTGGTCTGGCTTCCCCAAGCTGCACTTCCTCTGACTCGATCTAGGGAGAGGAGAAGGCAAAAGCAAGGCTGTGAGCAAGATGCTGTGAACTGCGAGTACAAGGTGCCAGCAGCTTCTGCAAAATACTCTGTGCTGGCAGACTTTGAGGGGCCACGTAGGAGCTCACGTTGGTGCAGCAAGGTCCATGGAGAGCATTCCCTCCCAGCACAGCTCCCCCCCCAAAGGTACACAGGCCCAAGAAAGGCAAGTCAAAGCTTTTTATTCCCCAAGCATACCATCACACACACTTGGCCAAAGACAGCAATCACCTCCCTCCCCAAACTGATTCGTGTGTAGCCTTCAAATACCGAGCTCCTTTGAGACCCTGCAAAGCCCATGTAGAACCTTTTAAATCCTTTGGCCCCAACTACAGCGAACACATTTCAGAAACAGCCCTCTCTTTTAATTCATAATCATTATATGACATCATTAATCCTGGCTTCTGATACTTTTATCTGTGTGCATGCCTGCCAAACGGCTTGAAAGTTGGGTGGAAGAAAAGAGTCGTCAAGCACTGCTCCTCAGAGTCAGACCTGTCAGCTTCTACCCTTTGAAGCTGGAACTCTGCACTAATGCTCAGATTAAAAAAAAAAAAAAAAAAAAGCTGCAGCTTCAGGGAGTTCTGCCTTCTAAAAAGTGACATGAAAGAGAAAGCTCCACTTCTTTTTTTTTGGTCCTAATAATTCAGAGTAATGTTCATGTAAGCCAAAGAGGTACAACTCTCAAAGTGTGACTCCCAGGAGCTCAGACACGGTTGCCATCTGGGAAGGACCTGCTGCCATGACAGCTCCATCATGGTGACGACACAGCTCCTTGGTGGGCTGGGCAGCACCCAGCTCTGGAGACGCTGAGGCACTTTCAGGTGTTTTGTGCCACTCAAAAGACAAGACCTGGCTGGTTTCGTACTCCTCGCTGTGCTAGTTATTAGAAAGATGCCAATAGCACTTGTGACAGCTTCTGCTTTGGAACTAGTCCTCATCTTTAGCTCCCCAAGCGAGGTGATTAACTCACTACCCTGATGGGCGCACGATGTTGCCAGCACAGCCTGCTGTCCCTTTGTACCCGGAGACGTGTCTGTCCATAGGCAGGAGCACGGAGCGAAGCAAACAGCCCTGCCTCGGGAGACCAGATAAGGCACGAATGCTCTCAGGGATTATTTGTCTGCTTTGGCCCAAGGGCACCTTACTCCCTGCACGTACAAACCGGGGGTGTTATGCAACCCAGATACTTTTACTTATTAAGATAAATCTACAGAATCCCCGCGGCTTGGTTTGGCAGGAACGCTCCCCCTATCGCCCAGCAGAAACAGCGCCAGCGGC